AGGAGCTGAGGCGTCGAGGAGCAGAGTAGGGGAGGGAGTCTCAGAGGCAGGGAAACGCCAGCAGTCAGTAGAAGTTGGGCCAACTACTGACGAGACTGCCTGCTCGCCCAACCACACCGACCCTCACAGAGTCACAGTACCGATTCACGCCATCGATCGGGCTCGGATGAATAAGGAGGGTACAGCGACGGATTGCCCGGTACTGATCTACGGGAAAATACAGGGAGCAGCAGTGAAAATCTTCATTGACGGAGGAGCAAGTCACAGCTTAGTTAATACTGCAACCGCACGGAAATTACAGTTAACACTTAACCGATGTTTACCTGAGATAGATGCACGCTTAGTCGACGGCACGCCATTGGCCATACGAGAAAAAGTGGAGCGAGTAAAAGTCCGCTGCGGGGGAAACTTCGGGTTTACACAGGAAATGCTCGCAACGACGCTGGATGGGCACGACATTTTACTGGGACGTGATTGGCTGCGACGGTACAACCCACGGATCGACTGGACGACGGGGAGCTGCACAGTGCGAAGTAGTGGTAACTGGGTCGTCCTACCTCGCTGGCGGCCACCCGAATCTTCGACAGTCCAGGTCAACGCCATCACGATGAAACGGGTTGTCGCTGCTGGAGCTGACGTGTACGCAGTGGATATCGCAGTGGTAGAAAAAAAACGAGCAGCAGAGTGATTTAGAGAAACTACTAGCAGCCGTACCGACCGAATTACAGGCACTACTGAAAGGGTTCCCGGGGATATTTCCGGATGATTTACCACAGGGACTGCCACCTCAGCGAGCGCACGACCATAGGATCGAGTTAGAACCGGGGGCACAGCCAACCATATAGCGGCAATTTCGACTGACACAGCCCGAGCTCGACGAGTTAAGGAAGCAGTTAGATTACCTGTTAGAAAAGCAGTTTATTCGACCGAGCTCGTCACCGTTCGCCGCACCCATACTGTTCACACCGAAAAAGGACGGAGGTTTTCGCATGTGCATCGACTACCGAGCGCTTAACAGGGTAACAGTCAAATCGCGATACCCCATCCCCCGCGCCGACGAACTGATTGACCAACTGCGAACAGCACGTGTCTTTTCGAAAATAGATTTACGGGGAGGTTACCATCAGATTCGGGTCGAACCATCGGACTGCGCAAAAACAGCATTTAGGACTAGGTACGGGTCATTCGAGTATACAGTAATGCCCTTCGGGTTGACGAACGCGCCTGCGACTTTTCAGATGACCATGAACGAGGCATTTAGGCCACTTTTAGATAAATGCGTGATCGTTTACCTCGACGATATCCTCGTTTACAGTCGGGATAAGCAGCAACACTTAGCAGATCTTGAAGTTGTTTTTAAGGTTTTAGAGGAACATCGGCTGCTCACCAAGGGCTCCAAGTGCGAGTTTTTTAGGGATAGGCTAGAGTTTTTAGGTCACGTCTTTTCAGAGGCTGGGGTTGAGATTGACCCAAAGAAGCTGGACACGGTAAAAGCGTGGCGCCCCCCGACGAACATCACGGAACTGCAGAGTTTTTTAGGGTTTGTTAATTACGTTCGACGGTTCGTGCCCGACATGGCACGTTTAACAGCCCCACTAACTGATTTACTGCGTAAGGGGGTCGCTTTTACGTGGGGGGAGAAAGAGCATGCTGCCTTCTCTGCCCTAAAAAATGTTCTCTGTTCACCACCCGTCCTACGCATCGCTGATCCCCACCGCCCTTTCGAAGTGGTTACCGACGCAAGTGACATCGCCATCGGAGCTGTACTGTTACAGGACTTCGGCAACGGCCTCCAACCCATCGCCTACGAATCACGCAAACTACATCCGCCTGAGCGAAATTACCCGATACACGACCGCGAAATGCTCGCGATCGTGCATGCATTCAAAGTTTGGCGCTGCTACTTGACCGGCGCAGACGTGACAGTACGGACAGACCACCGATCTCTACAGTACCTCCGCCCACAGCCCCACCTCAACCCACGACAGATTCGATGGCTCGATTTCCTCGAGTCGAATTTTCACTATACGGTCACATACAAAAAAGGAGCATCGAATATCGCCGACGCACTGACCCGCCCCACTGCCCAGATTCACGCAATACTACTCGCCCAGACCAGCCCACTGCTGACAGGCCTATTTACCCACGGATATCAAACATACCCGTTCTTTACAGGAGGCAACTCACAGCAATTCGCAGCGGCAAAAGGAGTCTATTACGTAAAAACTGGAACCGACCGCATCTGGGTACCGGGATACACACTACTGCGGGAACTACTGTTACAGGAAGCACACGACGGAGTTACCTCGGGACATTTCGGGGTAGAAAAAACACGGCAGCAGCTGCAGCGGTACTACTACTGGCCAGAAATGTTGACCGATGTGCAACGACACGTGGCATCGTGTCCCACTTGCCAGCTCATGAAGTCAAGCAGGAAGCGACCAGCGGGACAATTACAACCCATCCCGCCTCCAGAGCGTGCTTGGCAGCAGGTGACGATGGACTTCGTCACGGGGTTACCAGCTGGGGCGAGTGGGAATGACGCGATCCTGGTCGTCATTGATCGACTAACGAAAATGGCTCATTTCGCAGCATGCAGGAAATCCATCACAGCCGAAGAAACCGCCCGACTCTTCATCTCCACCGTCGTACGACTGCACGGGATACCCGCGTCGATCATCAGCGACAGGGACACGAAATTTACCAACAACTTCTGGCGGAACCTGTGGCAGCAGTTCGGCACGCGCTTACAGTTCAGTTCATCCTATCACCCCGAAACCGACGGACAGACGGAACGGAAAAATCAGACCATGGAGCAGCTGATACGAGCCACGTGCGACGACCCGAATACGTGGGAACAGCAGCTGCCACTCATCGAGTTCGCATACAATAACGCACCATCAGCCACGACGCAACAGTCGCCGTTTTATTTAAATTACGGACAGGACCCAACAGTACCCATGACACCGAATCCCGACAACCCCGTCCCACGAGCACAACAGTTCGCCGAGATTCTGCAAGCAGCACGGACCAGGGCAGCAGAAGCAATCAAAAAATCAAACATCATCGCTAAACGCAACGCCGATCGACATCGCAGACCCGTTACTTATCAGCCCGACGACCTCGTTTTACTCGACACTCAGAACCTTCGCCTGCCCATCACTCCAAAACTTCGCCCCCGATATTGTGGGCCATTTCGCATCAGCCACATGATCACACCCGTCACCGCCCACCTCCTCCTCCCTGCTGACTGGTACGTCAGCCCGTCATTCCACGTCAGCCTACTTCGCCCTTACATCCCATCCACGAGCCAACTGCCACGAAATCGCCCAGCCAGCATGACACGTCCCCCAACCGAACCACTCATCACCCCTGAAAAAATCCTCAGCCACCGAGTCCGCGACCCTCGGGGAGCCCGAAGGATCGAGTTCCTAATTCGCTGGAAGGACCGAACGCCCACAGAAGACAACTGGGTCCCCCTGGATAAAATTGCGAACCACCCTGTCTTCACCGAGTATCTGCGAAGCCGAAATTTCCGCGACGTCCATGCGCTCTCGTAAGAGGGGCCTCCTTGGGGAGGGGGGTAGTGTAAGGAAATTCCCTTTTCCTTACTTCGCGTCCCTGCCCAGCGCGTACGTCACTGTAGCACCTCAGTCAGCACCGTTACCACTCGCGACCATCGCATCATTCATCATCCCGCCCTTTTCGCACATCGCATCCCGACCTCACGGCTCGGCTGGTAACCCGCGCTCCGGGCCTACGCTTCGACACTTTCCCAACCTCAGTCCCAGGTTCGACGCGCGACAACCACAGTCCATTACCGTTACCACTATTGTTTCGCTATATAATCCTTCGCTCATGCCTTCGCTCATTGTACTTTTGCTTCGATAGTGCAATTCTCGTTCGTTCACTCAATTGCACTCGTAACAGGTAACAACAATATGAACAGCTATTCTATGAATTGGATAGAAGAAAAGATCCTTATCAGGTACCATATGATCAGTTTATACAATAAACATTTTCGCAATATATGCATGAGGTATGAATGCATGCCCTTTGTAAGTATGGTAGTAGATAAGAGTCGATATCCGTATGCAAAATGTAATATTTATTGTGTGAGTGTAGCATCTGTCCGGCAGAGATCTGGATTCACTATTACGTCCGTGTCGCTCACGCACACCTTCATTCCCTCTGGTCCTTGCTGTCTCAGCATTTCACACAAATCTGGTCTCGGCTGTAGTGGAGAAGAGTCAAATGATGGATCAGGGATGTGACATTCTTTTCTTTTCTGATGCGAGTAGCTGGAGGTCACGACTCTTAGTTCCCGCGGTTGAGCCGTCGCGTCGCATGTCATGGAGCTCGCAAGGCGAGGAGGACCCAGTAGCTGCATTACAGAAGGCCACCATCATTGCCGCGAGGAGGGGGACGGTAAGGCGGACATTCAGGAGGAGGAAGAGGATAATTCGTTGATGATTTCAGAAGAAAGTTTGAACGAAATCGACGATGAATCAATACTTCTCCTGCTGACCGAGAAACAGAGGCCGAACAACGGTTGTGGAGCTGTTACTGACGGTTCTGAAGGTTATGCCGCGAGCTTGTCGAGATCCCTACGTCAGGGAAGCAATGCTGCTAACGCCCCCACCTTTTGTGTGCTCGTTTTTTTCCTCCTGGTTACGTTATTCACTCTCCTGGGACGGTATTTCCTCGGCTCAGGTTCCGGAATTCTAGATTTCACCGTTTCTAATGAATCTTCTCGTGAGCTATCATCGTCAGCGTCATCAAACACGGCCCGTGAGAGCTCTCTTTTTGAGGCGCCTCAAAAAGCGTCGTCAAACACCGCCCATGAGAGCTCTCATGACGACTCTTTCGGCATCGCTCTGACAAACGCCAGCTCGTCCCGCGAACCTAGCGATTTTGTCAAGACGCAGGCGTCTTTCATCAGTGATTCGTTAGAAACTGACCCGTTAGAAGCCGCTTTTTTACAACGGGAACGGGAACTTATGCAGCTCTGGACAGAGCTGCTTCGGCCGGGGTCACCGTACGCAACCCGTGACGTCAGCAGCGACGAGACCAATACCAGCTCTGAATCAATCTCCAGCATTGCTGCCGCGAGTGATGCTGAAACCGACGGATCGGAGAGCAGCTACACTAGCAGCAGCGAGAAGGCGCAGAAGGAGAGTCCTGACATGGTACCAATGAATGCAACAGCAGCACTGGCTCCTTCTGAGGGCTCGGCAGACCCGTCTAAGGAAGCACCACCGCTGCAGCAGCAGACTCAACAGACTCAACAGAGTCAGCAGCAGCAGCAGCAGCAGCAGCAGCAGCAGCAGCAGGAGGAGGAGGAGGAAGCTGCAGGCTCTGTCCCTCCGTCTGTCCCTCCGCGTGTCCCTCCGCGTGTCCCTCCGCCGGTCCCCCCACACCTGGTGAACTGCAAGGCAATGATTAAGGCGGTGACACAGTATGAGAGGCTCGCCCGTGGACGCCACAGGGTGAAGGAGGTCCCGTGGGCCCTCGTTCGCCAGGCACACGGCGAACGAGGAGAAGGAACGGAGAGGCGATTGGGGATAGACGCGAGGGGGGGGATGGGCGAGGAGAAGGAGAGGAGGACTGGGGGCCATGGTGCGGAGATAGAGGGGGAGGGGGAAGAGGAGGAGGGGGGGGGGGAGGAGGAGAGGGGTGAGGAGGGGAGGGAAGGGTTGGTGGAGGGACCATATCCCCCGTGGGTGGTGGGGGCGGACGAGGAGAATTACCCGTTGACTCGGCGCGTGCAGAGAGACATATGGCTGCATCAGCACCCTGCCGACTGCTACCACCCCTCAGTCAAGTGAGCTGATTGTAAGGGTGGTGCCTATGGGGGTGCTTGTAAGGGTGGTTCTGGTACAGAAAAACAGTTTCGACCTGGATCCAACAGGTTGCTCGTCCTAATCTCTTCCTAATCTCCTCTAGGCTGAGCTTAGGCTAGTAGGGATTGAGTAGGTAAGAAATTGTCATTCAAACCTGAGCGTACGCGCGTTTCGGCCGGTGGCCTATGGGGGTGCTTGTAAGGGTAGTGCCTATGGGGTTGCTTGTAAGGGCGCGTGTATAGGGACATTTGGCTGCACCAGCACCACTCCGACTGCTACCACCCCTCAGTCAAGTGAGCTGCTTGTCATGGTGCCTGTGGGGATGCCTCTGAGCTGCTTGTAAGGGTGCCTATGGGGTGTAGTGCTGGCTACGGGGGTGCTTGTAGTGCTGCAGCCTATGGGGATGCTTGTATTGCTATCTATGGGGGTGCTTGTATTGCTACCTATGGGGGTGCTTGTATTGCTATCTATGGGGGTGCTTGTATTGCTATCTATGGGGGTGCTTGTAAGGGTGCATGCAGAGAGACATATGGCTGCACCAGCACCCCGTTGACTGCTACCACCCTTCAGTCAAGTGAGGCGCCTATAACGCTGCCTGTAACACTGCCTGTAACACTGCCTGTAACGGTGCCTGTAACGGTGCCTGTAACGGTGCCTGTAACGCTGCCTGTCGTGCTGCTTGGTGAAACAAACACCCTTATCCGCCCCACCCTCCTTGATGCCTGACGCCTAGCAGGTTCCTCTACGCCACGCTCGTCCCACAGGCCACGACTGCCATTGCCGCGCAGCTCACCATGCATACGTTTGAGGCGCCTCGAACGCAGCTCACCATGCAACCTACTGTGAGCACTTCCCCCATCTGCTCCACTCCCCCCTGCGTCCCAATCACTCACTCCTTTCCACGCAGGTTCCTCCACGCTACATTCGTCCCGCAGGCCAAGTATGGCAGGGGCGCGCAGCTCTCCAACGTGGCAGCGGCGTGCAGCTCTCCAACGTGGCAGGGGCGCCTCACAAATAGCAACCTCCCTGTCAACCCCTGGTTCCTTCCGCACCTCACCAACGTCACAATCAATCACTCCTTTCCCCGCAGGTTCCTCTACGCTACATTCGTCCCACAGTCCAAGTACGGCGTTGGCGCGCAGCTCACCAACGTGGCAGGGGCGCCTCAGAAACAGCAACCTGACTCTCAACCCTCTCCTGTTCCATTCTCTCCCCTGTTCCCATGTAGGTTCCTCTACGCTACGTTCGTCCCGCAGGCCAAGTACGGCGTTGGCGCGCAGCTCACCAACGTGGCAGGGGCGCTGGCGCTGGCGGTGGCGTCAGGGCGGGTGCTGGTGTTGGGAAAGTTCCCGAGGGCAATGCACGGTGGGTGTGAGGGGCGCAGGCAGGGCCGCTGGCACTGCTTCTTTGCACCGGAAACGAGCGATGCATGCCGAAGGTGTGTGTGTGGTGTGGTGTGGCGTGGTGTGGCGTGGTGTGGTGTGTTGTGGCGTGGTGTGGCGTGGTGTGGTGTGTTGTGGTGTGCAAGCACGGCCGCTGGCACTGCTTCTTTGCACCGGAAACGAGCGATGCATGCCAAAGGTGTATGTTTGCCCCAAATCCATTCTTCACCTGTTTTATTCCCTCTCAGCCGTTATTCCACGAGTGAGATTTTTCTAAGAAGGAAATAAAGAAAAACTTCAGGAGAAGTTTTAGATGTGCACCGTGGAATCCTGCTTCGTACCGATTCCCTTCCCTTCCCTCCCCCCATCCCACAGACGTGCTCATGACCTGATGGCCAAGCAGCAAGCGCATCATCCGGCCACAGCAGAACCAGGATCAAATCTTCAGGCGGAATCCAATCTCCCAGCGGAATCAGACGTGCACTCGAGCCTGGCTGTGGTGCGGCGGCAGGATATTCCCGAGGAGCTTGTGTGGTTTCCCCCCGTACCCTCCTTGTGGGGGGAGCCGTGGCTGCGCATCCCTGCTGTGATTGAAATCAACGGGCACATGCGACAAACCACCAAGACTGGGTGAGTGGTGAGGCGTCTCGTGCTCTCAAACCTGACTATGGTGCGACAACAGGATATTCCCCGTGGGCTTGTGTGGTTCCCATTCCCACCTGTGCCCGCCCTGTGGGGGGAGCCGTGCCTGCACATCCCTGCCCCGTGATTGAAATCAACGGGCACATGGGGCTAACGACCAAGACCGGGTGAGTCACTAATTGCACAATGACGGCAAGAGGACTCTGCAGACTGCTGCTCCCTGGAGATGACACACAGTCTACTCCACACACCCTCGAAGGTTTGTGCTTCTTGCTTGCTTCCATGTGCTTGCACATGCCTCTTGCTTGATTGCTCTGCCCATAGCTATTTGCCTTGCTCTGTTCATCCCTTCCTGCAGCAACAAGGACCGCTGGTGGAGAGCACAGGCGTGGCGCTCATTGCTGCGTCACCCTCGTGCTACCACTGCACAGGATCGTTCATGCCAGTGCTACCCCCGCCCTCTGCCCATGCATTGCTCTTCCCATCCCTCCCTGCAGCAACAAGGACCGCTGGTGGAGGGCGCAGGCGTGGCGCTTCCTCATGCGCTCGCCCTCGCGCTACCTCTGTGCCGTCATCAACCGGGCCAGGCACGCAGCCTTCGGGCCAATGGCAGCTCGCCACGTGGCGCGCGCAGAAGCCGCGATTCTTCAAGCTGAGAAGCTGATCTTTGCTGCGAGTACTCCCCGTGTTAACCTTTCTGAGACTGAGGTCCAACAGTCCATCTCTGCCAATGCGGGTATTTTCCAGCGTAATCGTTCGCAGAGTGGCGGTTTTAACGGCGTTCTCGTAGGCGCCAGGTCAGCGCCGTGGGTGCCGCGGCCTTTGGTGAGCATGCACGTGCGCATGGGGGACAAGGCAAGGGAGATGCGGGTGGCGGGCTTCGGCACGTACCTGCACCTGCTGTCAAGAGTGCGAAAGTTCGACCCTTCCGCTACAACCGTCTGGCTGAGCACAGAAATGCAGCCGGTAAGGCAACTGGGACATTACCGGCACACGACACGACATCCCATAATGCTGCTCCATCTGCTCTCACTGCTCCCGTTCCATCATCCCATCCCATCCTCCTCTCCTTTCACTGCTGTGTGTTGCCCTTTCCGAAAATGCTCCCTTCAGGTTTTGTTTTGTGGGGATTTTTTTGGGGGGGTACGCTGCGGTCTCACTTTCGTTGACTGAGATTTTGATGATTTTATTGCTGGTTACTGCTGGCAGGTTGTAGAGAGGGCCATTCGTACTCCTGGGTGGGACTGGAAGGTCACCAACGTACCTCGGATGCAAGGAAATGAGAGCATGCCAGCCTTTGAGGCTCGGATCGGGCCCCAGCGCAGCGTTGAGAATGCTTGGGTAAATTTGCTTATGGCAGCAGAGGCTGATTATTTCATAGGTGCTCTTGGTTCGACGTGGTCCATGCTAATTGATGGCTTGCGGTGTACAGGAGGAAAGATGCTCGCTGGTTTTCTAAGCACATCAAGGGACAGGCATTGGTAATGAAAAAAGTTTCCAGTGGAATGCTGGCAATTTATGCTTGCCTATCATGAATTTGTTGGGAAGTACTTCGTTGTACAGAGTTCATTTCAAGTTGAAGTGAGTTTGATCTACAATCGCAGACGGGACGCACAGAGCTCATGTTTTTTTTGGTCTTTTTCCGAACCAGACCTGGCCCAGACTTGAGCCTCGGTCCACAGCACACCTTACGGTGGCGGGAAGCCAGGCTTGGCGCATGACCGAAGTTCGGCGTTGAGTTCTTTAGCCCAGATCAGGTGAACCGAACAGAGCTAGTCTCCGGCCTATCAGTGCATTTTGTCGTGTGGTTCGGCGAGGGCTCCCGCCCCAGGAATCTGGGAATGTGGGCCTGCTGCGCGAGACTGCCCTCGATTTCATCCAGTTTCCCAACCAAAGTCCGAACCAAACCTAGCTTTCGGTTCGCTGCTTTCCGCAGAACACACAGGGATAGAGATTGAAATCTCGAAGTCGTCCTTGGGTCTAGACTCTAGAGTTGAGGAGCTGACACAACAGAAGTAACCTCCATTTGGCTGAAGCAGCCCCGATTGACATGACGTGACAGAATCAGGAATCGTCTTGCTGTTTTTCAGCACTGCATTGGCTGACCAGACTGGTCATTGACAAGTCGGCTTTTGATCACCTTATAAGCCTGGTCCGCCGGCACGGTAGAGCTCAAACCGCGTCGTCAGCTCCAGCCACCGTAGTCTCATGTGCTCTTTGGTCCACAAGTAAGCAGACAGATGCACTAGATCGATGCTTGACCGATTCTTGCATGACCGCTGCTAACCAAACCAGTTATTTCCCTTGAGGTTCCTAGCATCTGAACTCTTATCAGCTTCCTTAGCTCGACATCAATCATTTGGGGTTCAACTCTACTACTGACAACCTTAGTTTTTACATAATGGAAAGCTGATTCCAGCCCCTTCCGTAGATCAAGAAGCTACAGCTCAGATGGGTATCGGGGGGTTCGTACGTTCCGGAGCCTCCTTCGCGGGTCGGTTCGTGGCCGTTCTCGCGGTCCACACGCTAGGACGGGTCGTATGGCCATTCTTCCGAGTCGCCGCGATCGCCAGCAGCAATGTCTGGTCCAAGCTGCCTCTCCGCCTGGTACGCGTTTCTATTAGCATTGCTGTTTTGTTTTCATATTCCTACCGCAGCTGCAGCTGCAGCCTCCTGGTCCTGCTTGTCGTGTCGTTAGCAGTCTGTCACGACACGTGTGATTCTGGATCGCCATTTGCGGTCGGTTCAAGGGAACAGTGGAGCACGTGCGACGCGAGGTCGCACTCAGCACGCATGTCCATGGGAAACTCAAATGGCAATAAACGACACACGTGGCAGTCGGCACACATGGCCGTGAGCGACACACACAACAATGAATGGCAAGCATGACACGTAGCATGACAATGAGTGGCACGCATGACATTGTATAAGACGCATGACAATGAGTGGCACGCATGACATTGTATAACACGCATGACAATGAGTGCCAAGCATGACAATGAATGACACGCATGACCATATTGACACACAATCTGCTCCACGCTCACTCCAACATGACTACAACCCTGAACTTCCAACTCTTCCATACCCAACAAGTCCTAACCATGCCCAACCTCCCCTCACGCACACCAGATGCCGGCCGGAGCAGCCAGTTCCGTGGCGCGGCTGCGGCCCTTCTGCATGCCGGTGCTGCTGCAGGTGGCTCTCAGCTCGCTCATCCCCCTCGCCTTCCCCGATGTCTGGCGCACTCTCCGCTTCTGGGACCGCCTTATGCCCATCTACATGGGGTGCGTTGTGAGAGTAAAGTTGAATGCTCTTTGGGAATCACATTTGAGAATTCTCAAAGGTTTTTTTCGCTTCTGGGACCGCCTCATGCCCATCTACCTGGGGTGAGTTCTTTAGGCCGCCTTCATTGCTCGTGCGTGCGTTCTCTCTCTGAGGGACGTCCATTGTTCATGTCCGTTCTCTGGGATGCTTATTTTGAGGCGTCTAAAAGACTCATTTGTGTCCACAAGGAATGCGTTCGTTGGGCTTCCGTACTAACTCATGCCAATCTCCGTGGGGTGCATCTCGTGAGGCGCATGTATTGTTTTTCTACATAGGGAAGCGAGTGGAAGCATCTGTGTGCATGTCACTTCTCTACCCCAAACCCCATCCCCCCAACCCCCCACCCTCGTTTCCCCACCCACCTTTTTTTCCTCCCACCCTTTTCCTCCTCCTCCCTCCTTCTTCACCCTTTCACTCCTCTCAACCCCGTCCCCTCCCTCCCCTTTCCCCCCTCACCCTTCCCCACCTCCCACCTCCTTCCTTCTCCAACCCCTCCCCCACCATTTACATGAAGACTAAGCTGGCGGTGCGCAGGAAGCCCATTGAGGTTCGTTGGAGGCTCCTAAGAACAACCTCCCCCCCGCCCCCCCCCCCCCCCCCCCCCCCCCCCCCCCTTAACCCTTGGTCTCCTCCCCCCAGGTACATGAAAACGAAGCTGGCGGTGCGCAAGAAGCCCATTGAGGTTCGTTTGAGGCTCCTAAAAACACCCCCCCTCCCCCCCCTTAACCCTTGGTCTCCTCCCCCAAGGTACATGAAAACGAAGCTGGCGGTGCGCAAGAAGCCCATTGAGGTTCGTTTGAGGCTCCTAAAAACACCCCCCCTCCCCCCCCTTAACCCTTGGTCTCCTCCCCCAAGGTACATGAAAACGAAGCTGGCGGTGCGCAAGAAGCCCATTGAGGTTCGTTTGAGGCTCCTAAGAACACCCCCCCTCCCCCCCCTTAACCCTTGGTCTCCTCCCCCCAGGTACATGAAAACGAAGCTGGCGGTGCGCAAGAAGCCCATTGAGGTTCGCCACGAGAAGTGGGCTGTGCGCCACGAGTGGGGCGGCAAGTGAGTGAAAACTGGGCGGCTGTGAGCTGGGATGGGCGGCAAGTGAGCGGGGTTGGGGCGGGAAGTGAGTGGGAGTGGGTTGGCAATTGGGCGTGAATGGATATTTGAGTGGGAAATGAGCGCGGGCGGGTGAGAGGGAATGGGGCAACAAACGCCAGCATCCATGAGGCAGCATACGTCAGGCAGCAAGTCTGGTCGACAAAATTTTTGAAATAGCTGAGCAAGAGTGAGGAGACTAGGGATAGGGCGCAGAGCACCGTCTTGTTCTCATTTGGTTGCTCTCTTTGTCCCTCACCACCAGCCTCATCCCTCTTCCACTGATGACCTCTCTTCCCTCTCCTCTTCTCCCCCATGCAGGCTAGTGCACGATCTGGTGCTGCGTCTCTGCGGCCCTTCTCATAATTCATAATTCATCTGGTGCTTCCCTCCCCACCCTCCCCTCCCTTTTCCTCCCTCTTCTTCCCCACCCCCCATGCAGGCTAGTGCACGACCTGGTGCTGCGTCTCAGCGGCCTCTACGTCAAGTCTGCACAGATCCTTGCCTCCAAATCGGTACACTTCCATCCTTGCCTCCAAATCGGTACACTTCCATCCTTGCCTCCAAATCGGTACACTTCCATCCTTGCCTCCAAATCGGTACACTTCCATCCTTGCCTCCAAATCGGTACACTTCCATCCTTGCCTCCAAATCGGTACACTTCCATCCTTGCCCCGCATGTCCCCATCCGTGTCCCCATTCCCATGTTCCCGCCCATGCCCGCCCCCCATGTTCCCCCGCATGCCCCCCCCCCCCCCCCCCCCATGTTACGGCGCCCAGCACTCACAGCTATGCCAACCCCGCCCCCTTCCCGCATCCCCCATGCTGTCCCCCCTGGTGGTGCCTTCCTCCCCCCCCCCCTCTGCCCCTCAGGACTTCATGCCAGCAGCGTGGGTGCGGCGCCTCTCAGCCCTATTCGACAACGTGCCCCCCCGCCCCTACTCGCAAGTCATCCGCTCCATCCAATGCGAGCTCGCCATCTGTCCTCCCCCTGCTGCTGTCCCTACTGCCCTCCCTGCTGCTGCCGATGGTGACGCTGTCGCTCCCTCCGTTCCTGCTGCCTCTGCTGCTGCTGTTGCGAATGGTGAAGCCCCTTTCGTCAAGCCCGCTACAGCCGACATTCCACCCAGTCAAAGCAAGTCAACGCAGGTCAAGCGCCGCGCACTGCTGGTAGCAGACGTGTTTGAGAGCATAGACGAGGAGTCCCTCGCCTCTGCCTCCATAGCCCAGGCGCATGCAGCTGTGCTCCTGCACCCGCTCCCTGAGAACCACCCCACTGACCCCACCAAGGTGCTGCCTATCCTGCCGCACCTCACGAGTAAAGAGAGGGACGCCCTTGGGATTGCCGCGGAGTGCACTGAGGTGTGCTTTGTGGCGAAGACGGATCGGCTGTGGGTGACGCCGCTGTTCCAGTCGGCTTTTCAAGCACCGTCCGTAGAGACAGCAGTTGCAGCGGTAGCAGGTGGAGTAAATGTAGGTTTAGCAGCGGTGGCAGGAAAAGATACAGCAGGAGCAGCAGCAGCAGGTGCTGTGAGTCCGCTGCAGGTTGTAGCAGCACCAGCGGCTGCAGCGACAGCAGAAACACCAGCAGCAGCAGCAGCAGCAGCAGCAGAAACAGCCACAGTGGCAGCTGTTGTGACTTCTTCCCCTGCAATAGGTTCAGCAGGTGCAGTAAATGTAGTAGGTGCGAGCAGCAGTCCAGCCCCAAGGAGAACTGTGCCTGGGGTGATATCTCGTCTGGTCCCACTGGACCGCAAGCCAATCGGAGTCATGACTGCGGATGGAACCATCAAACCCATCTCCCCTGCCGGCCCTGCCCTACCTTCGCCTTCTGCTGCTGGAGGAGTAGGAGCAGCAGCAAGTGGAGCAGCAGGAGCAGCCATGCTGAAGCGGCCTATTCCTCCCCGGTTGGCAAATGACAGGACAGAAGAGGGCGAGCAAGAGGAGGAGGGCGAGGAGGAACAGTTTTTCGATGGTGAGGGAGGGGAGAGCAGCGAGAGTGGGGACGAGAGGGACGATTTCTTTGACGCGCATTCCGAGGCCCATGAACTCGGCGCTGACGTGGCGAACAGCAGCCACGTGGCAGCGTGTGAGGGACGGGAGGGAGGGGTCACGGGAGCAGCAGAGGGGGGGACCGGTGAAGAGGGAGGTAACGAGGAGGAGAATGAGAGGGAGCGGGAGAGGGAGAGGCAGCGGGGCAGGGCGGTGGTGGTGAAGGTGCAGCATCTGGGCATGGATATCATCATGCGCTCCGACCTCAGAAACATAGGGCGTGTGGCTGAGTTCCTCTCGCCCCAGCTGCCCTTCGATCTCCGCAATGTGAGCCCTGCATGGTGTGGTGTGCTGTGGTGGGTTGGGATGTGGTGTGGTGTGGTGTGGTGAGGTGTGGTGTGATGTGGTACGGTGCGGTGCAGTGTGGTGTGGTGTGGTCTGGTGTAGGCACATTGTGTGAAGTGGCGTGGGGGCGGGGCAGGGCAGTGGTGGTGAAGGTGCAGCACCTGGGAATGGATGTCATCACACGCTCAGACCTCAGAAACATCGGCCGCGTTGCTGCGCAATGTGAGCCCCCGTGCGCTGTGCTGTGGCTTAGGCATATGCAGTGCGAGCTCTGCTGCCCTTCATCACCACCATTCGCCACAACCTCGCATGCAGGGGTTTCTTGCTCTTTGCCCGCTGCTCTTTCTGCCCCCTCATTCCGGTTCCCCGCTTCCTACTCCTCTTTTTTCCCTTGCCTCTTCCACCTCCCCTTGACTCTCTCGCCTCGTCCCCCTCCCTCTGTCCCCCTTTCTCGAGCCACATAGTGAAGGAGATACAGCAGACCATTCCCAGCAGTTCCCACACTCCTCGCCCCCGTCCCTTGCCCCCTTGCTCTTTTTCAACCCACCAACCAGATAGTGAAGGAGATACAGCAGACCATTCCCAACGAGTTCAACTTCCAGAGAGAGGCCGCCTTCATGACCACCGTGCGCCACAACCTCGCCTGCCGGGGCTTCCACCAAGTCGTCTGCCCCACGCCCGTCTTGGATCTCTGCACGCGCCGCATGATCGTCATGGAGGTACGCAGTGCTGGGGGGTGCTTCGGGGTACTCAGGGGTGCTGGGGGTTGCTGTGGGGTGCTTGAAGGTGCAGTGTTCACCGGGCCCGCCTTCATGACCACCGTGCGCCACAACCTCGCCTGCCGGGGCTTCCACCAAGGCGTCTGCCCCACGCCTGTCTTGGATCTCTGCACACGGCGAATGATCGTCATGGAGGTATGTGGTGCTGTGGGGTAGTAGTGGGTGCTATGGGGTGCTGCTGGGTGCTGTCTTGAGGCGTCTCAAGGCTTCTACCAGGTCGTCTGCTCCACGCCCATGCTGCACCTCTGCACACGCCGCATGATCGCCGAGGAGGTTGCAGTGGTGGTTGTGGTGGTTCTGTCCGGTGTTGCTGTTGCTCCCATCACGCCACCCCTACGACAGAAGCACCTCCCTCATTTCTTCCCTAACTTTTTCAACCCTTTTTCCTCCCTTCACCCTTTCCTTTCCCCCATCTCTGCCCCTCCCAGAGGCTCTACGGCACTCCATTCACCAAGATAATCGACTCTCTACACCCCTACAAGGATTCCTCCCTCCTCCCTCCTCCTCTTGCCGCCACTCGCCTAGAAGCAATCTCAGCCGTCCGTTCCCTCCTCGAATCCTACGGTGCCATGTTCTTCCTGGACGGCGTTTTCCATGCCGACCCGCACCCGGGAAACCTTTTGCTGCTGCCCGGCGCCAAGCTCGGGCTGCTGGACTTCGGGCAGTCGAAGGTTTTGGAGCGGCAGACGAAACGTTCATTTGCCCGGATGGTTGTAGCCTTGTGTAAGGGTAACCAGCTGGAAATCGCCCTAGCTCTGTTAGGAACAGGAATATCGTTTGGGGGAGAGGCTGATTGGACTACTTTCTTCTCTAAACCAGGGGAGGAGTCAACAGGGGGGAGAGCAGCAGGAGGGGCAGAGGAGGTTGGTAAGGGCGGAAAGGGGGGCGGCGAGGCAGTGAAAGTAGAGCCAATGATGAATGGACACGTGTCAGAGAGTGCTCAATGTAACGGCCTGGCAACAGTCCATAGTGTGGCTGCTGCTGCTGCTGCTGCTGCTGCTCCTGCTCCTGCAGGGCTGGGCCTTGGTTCTGGTCTGGGACCCAAGCGGCCAGCAGCTTCAGGCTCAAAAGCAGCATCAGCAGACACGGTCGCAGCAGCAGCAGCATCAACAGGCACAGGGACAGGGACAGCAACAGCAGCGCCAGGAGGAGAGGCAGTGGTGGGGCTGCCTGGTCTGGGCCCCAGGCCGAGGAAAAAGAAGACGGTTGCATTCAGCGACCCCCTCACTCTCGGCCCTTCTGCCTCCTTAGGTTCTGCTGCCGCCGCCGCTGGTGCTGCTGCTGCTGGCATGCCAGCTGCCCCAACGAAAAGCAACCTCATTGCCCCCGCACCTGCAGTGCCTGCTGCTGGTTCTGCCACTCCCACTGCTGCACCAGCTGCACCCGTTTCTACTACGGCTCCTGCTGCAGCGTCCTCTGCTGCTGCCACTCCTGCTGCCGCCACTCCTGTAGCTGCGGGGGGATCACCAGTGCTGCATGGGGTGGAAGGGGGAACGGTGTCTGCTGCAGTGCTGGCTGCTGTGGTGGCCTTCACAGAAAACGCCCCTCCTGATGACGCCCCTGCTGCTCCCACCACCACTGCTGCTGCTCCTGCTGCTGTTGCTGGTGTGAGTGAGAAGGGAGGGGAGGAGAGCAGTAGCAGCAAGGCAGGTGCGGGGAGGGGAGAATCTGACGGGGAGTCAGTGCTGGCGACGCTGCTCAAGGAGGTGGGACCGGCCGGGCTGCTGGCAGCAGCAACGCCGCAGCGGCTGCAGACGGTGCAGACGCTGTCGTACCTCATGTTTGACACGCGCCCCATGGCTGAGGCCCAGACGTCACCCCTTGCTCAGGAGTCTGTGCTTCAGAAGGCGCCGCTCAAGGCGTTCAACCAATCGTACTGGCTGGTGAGTGGTGGGGGGAAGAGGGGAAGGGTTGGGGGATACAGAGGCTGCAGACGGTGCAGACGCTGTCGTACCTCATGTTTGACACGCGGCCCATGGCTGAGGCCCAGACTTCCCCTCTTGCTCAGGAGTCTGTTTTGCAAAAAGCGCCGCTGAAGGCTTTCAACCAGTCCTACTGGCTGGTGAGTGGGTTGGGGCAAGGGAAGAAATGGTAAGAGTTCGATACGGGCTGATCTGGCTGGTAGGTAGGTGTGGGACTAGTGATGGGGAAGGTGGGGGGAAGAGGGGGATACAGGGGCTGCAGACGGTGCAGACGCTGTCGTACATCATGTTTGACCGGGAGAGCCCATATTGCTCCGGCGCCCTGAAAACTTTTGAGGCGCCTCAAAAGTCGTGACAGGCAATGTTGCTCCGCCGCCTTGAAAACAGACTCGAAGTTGCCTCTCTCCCTCTCCCTCCTCCTATCGACGTATCCCCCTATCCTCCTCACCCACTCCTCCATCTGTTTCAAATCGTTAGGGGTATGCTGCTGCTACGAGGTCGGTGCCACATTTGATTCTTGGCCTAATCCCCTTTCCCTGTTACCCCTCCCCATCCTTTCCCCCCTCTCCTTTCTCTGCATTAGATTGTGAGAGCGATGCTGCTGCTGCGAGGGCTGTGCCACTCGCTGGATGCTGACATCTCAGCCGTCCAATTGTGGAGGCCCTATGCCGAGGCTCTGCTTGCACAAGACCCATAGGAGAGCCCACAAGAGCTTATGCCGAGGCTCTAATTGCACAAGACCCATAGAAAAGCCCACCAGCAGTGGCAGTACACTGCACCTCTTGATTTTTGAGGCACCTATAAAACAATGATTGAGCAGCCCTCCTAGCGCAGCACCCCTATGCCAGCCATTCTAGTGCTGGTTGCGAACCCATTCGAGGCTGGGCCACCACCACCCTGTTGGCTAGGTTCCTAACCGCCAGTCGCTTTGCCAGTAAAAGTTCCCGTGTGCAGCCCCTGTTGAGCAGCAGCTAAGCACAGGGATTTGGCAACAACTTTTGGTGTAACCTGCCACTGTGATTTGCCTTTCAGTAACAATTAAATATAAAGTTCTGTGTGTTAAGCACAGAATGGCAGTGTCATATCTATAGTTTTAAACATTCTAGGAAAAAGCCTCTCGGTGGAGTGGGAAAACGACAGTCAACCTTCTGCTCGAAAGCCTCACTTATGTACGGTGCAGAAGTACAACGAGTGTATGTATAGATTAAGTATGTTAGTCTTCAGGATGATAGCTGGTGGCAGGACGCGGGATCTCAGATTAGCCTGTTGGGCTTGAGGACGCCATCCACACCGTGCGCTCGTATAAACTGCCCCTTGAAAAGATCTGGATCGTCGATTTGTGCCCACGTCAGCACGTTCGCCCCAGGAGGGCCGAGGGCGACAGTTGTACCGTGCGAAAGGAAACCCGTCTGCGTCTTGAATCGTACGAGCTGTTTGCCGTTCAGTTGCGTTTTCAGCTTCCCGCCAACGGGAATCGCCTTTATTTGTGCAAACGGGTACAAGCCTTCGATGACGTTGAAACGGATCAGGTCGCCCATGAGCTTCGGCACTATAGCGCGTATGCCGACTCCCGTGAGAGCGATGTTGGTGGGAATTAAAGCAGTGTTTTCGGATAGAAACTCCACGTTTATGTTTGCTTGGGGCAGTTTCTCTGAAAGAAAGAACAATAAAAGTGCGGAATTGGCATTGAAGAAGATGAGTTGCATGTTGAGGTGTCGCGTCAATCACGTTAGCTGGAAATTACCAGGAAAAGGAGATAGAAGTCGAAGCGGGTAGAGGGTGGGGAGGGAAAGGGAAAGATGAGCGGTGAGGGTGGTTGATGGGGGTTGGATGGTGGTAAAGTGGGATCGAAAGGGAACAAGGAAATGGCAACACATCGGCCGAAAGTGACGACAGCACTTACTTAGCTGTTTGATTGACCGTTGTAACGCGTTCGCTACAATCGAGTATTTGAACGGGTTCTTGAGGAGGGTCTTCTGCAGCTGTTCTAGTTCCGCGATGAACTCGGCAGGCGTCGGCCCCGCAGCCGCCGCTACGGCGAGTGAGAGAACGAGAATCGCTCCTAGCAAAGCCCTACTCGCCATGCCACGCTACTCGTGCGGATGCTATTAGGTCAATTTATCTCGCTCGTGAGGGATTGCGAGATTCTATATGTACACGCTCGGTTGATGCTGCTGTGGTTGACGAGTCGCCTTCGTTCGATTGACAGGTCCTACTGCGTGGGCAGTGAGTTTAGATGGAGTCGTCCGTCTGTGCGAGTTACCGAAGAGAAATACATAAATATCACGGATTCACTCGCAATGCTAGTCTGGTCAGTGTGCTTGGCAAGGCAGTCGCGCCAGCTGTCGGCGCTAGCAAGCTCTCAAACATGCCAGATTGCGACCGACATTTTTCTGATGGGTGCATGGAGGGAGGTGGAAGTGGGAAGTGACTTGATTTGGAAGCACTCCCCTCCTGCTCCTGGAACTGTGAGGAAGTGCGTAGAGTGGTGACGAAATTGTAGGAAGTGGATGAGTGGGCGTGGCGCGAAATTTAGCTTGCGAATTCTGAAATGAATTTGTTTGCAGCGGCTCGAGAATTTTGTGAGCGCGAGAAGCACGAAAGTGAGGTGGCGTGAATTGCGGCCTGCTGTGACAGCAATTGATGCAGCTGTCCCTCTTCCGTGTGTTGCGGTGGCGGCGAAATGCTGAGCGAGTTACTCAGCTGTGGGCGACAGAACATGCCGACAAACAAGCGTTTGGTATTAGAGGATGTAACTGCTGTTTTACTTACAGCGACAGCTTTTGCGCCAAGAGGTGTCAGATTGTATATTAGTATAAGCATGTACAAACCAGAGAGTCTATCAGCTGGGTTTAGGCACATCTAACAAACATAAAAGCCAAAAGGGAAACTCTTATTATGCTCGATCACCTTGACCAGCAGCACCCACTTCCGAGCCCCCATAGCACCTTTCCTACCACTACCTAAGCCAAGCAGGCGGTTTCCGAGCAAGGCAAGGAGTCCGTAACTGGTAGCAGGCAGGCAGACAAGTGTTGGGAGCCCAACCTGGCCGTTGACTCGGCGTCAAATACGCCGAAGCCCGTCTACAGTTGTACGCACATATTTGAAATAAACACTCGCAGGGCGAGAGATTCCCGCAAGTGAGGGCCTGATCAGTGAACGGCCAAGGGGGAGGGGGACACAGTGCTGTGGAAGTGCAGGTAGTGCCGGTGAGAGGCTTTAAAAACATGCGGCCACGGCAGGCTGATTCACACGGCGCACACACTCCTTGCCGAAACGGCATCGCATACGCCTTCTTCGCCGCACACCCGCTGCCGTACGTCACCCCGTCAGCCCCACACACGACCGACGTCGCCAGCGGGCAGACGTCAGAAAAGATCCGGTTTTTGCAGGGTATTAGGAGCAGTTGCCCTTGCGAGATGGCGGAATCGTCGCAGGAGGGGAGAGTGTTGGTGTCGCAGATAGAAATGGGGAAAGTGTTGTTGAGGCAGAGAGTGTTGAAATACTTGGATATGGAAGCAAGGGTATCGTTTGCAATGACAGTGTAGGGGATAACGTCGGAAGAGAGTGAGTCAGCACTGAACGCGTCGATTGCCCCTGCGACACACACCTGCTGCCCGATCTGGAAGTACGGCGGGTCACACTGCGATGGGAAGAGGAGGAGAGAAGGGAGCGGGACGAGCGGAGCAGGGTGAGAGGTGGGGGCATGGAGTCAACATGAGAAAAGGAGAACAACAGGCAGTAACAAGCCAAGTAATTCAGGGTGTAGACTAGATCTTACCCTGAGCCCAGGATTGAGCTTCATGAAATCATCCATGGAGAGCAAAGCAGCGTTGGCGATCACTTGTGAGGCACCTCAAAGTGGTCCCATGCTAGGGTGTACACAATAGCTTACCTTGAGAGCCCAAGGTATAAAACTAGAGCTTACCCTGAGCCCGGGATTGAGCTTCATAAAATCATCCATCGAGAGCAGAGCAGCATTGGCGATGCGGCTGCAGGTGTCGGCCTGGGTGACAGAGTACCACTCAGCGCACTCCACGCTCACCAGCTCCACTGTCAGCGGTGCCACACAGAGCAGCATGGATGGATCCAGAGGGGCTGTGGTGGTGCATCTCAGCCCTGGGTTGAGGCTGCGAGGGGGGGATGGAGGGAGGGAGGAGTGGGGAGTTAGGGTGTCTGCCTGGGTGACCAAGTACCACTCGGCACACTCCACGCTCACCAGCTCCACTGTTAGCAGTGCCACGCAGAGCAGCATTGAGGGGACTAGAGGGGCCGTGGTGGCGCATCTCAGCCCTGGGTTGAGGCTGCGAGGGGGTAAGGGCAAAGGGAGCGGAAGAAAAGGTGGGTTACACGAAGGACATTCGCAGACTCGCAGCACCAGTGAGCCCATGGATTTTTTAGTCAAGCGAAACATTTACAGCAAGAAGCGGGTGAGCGAATCGAGTAAAACACTCACAGCAAGAGGCGGGTGAGCGAATTGAGTAAAACACTCACAGCAAGAGGCGGGTGAGCGTGATGCTGGCGTTAAGCGCCACATTCATGCAGGTATCCCCCGGCTGCACCCGGTACGTCTGCCCACACGACACAGCCGCCGGCGCGGTTGTCGACAGCATTCCTGACCGCACACACACCGTCGACGACACTCGCAGTGATGGCGATGGAGCGGGCAGCGAGCAGTTCACACCCGGGTTGAGCGCTTGTAACACTTTTACGGTAACGTTGTTACGCGTTGCAATGGCGGTGCAGGTGTCGTTTGGGGAGATGAGATCGACGGCTGCGCAGCCGAAGGTGACGTTGGTGTCGCCGGCGACAATGAGAATGTAGCCGGGCGTGAGGGGCTGGATGGAGCAGTCGACAAAGGGATTTCGGGCTTCAAGAGATACTGGGGTGATGTTGAACGCGCGCGCGAGGGACTGGATGGGGAAGGGAGGAGGGGGGGGGGGGGGGCAGGGAAGGGCGGAGAGAGGAAAACAAGGAAGCGAGGGGAAGAGAGATGGTCAGAAGATGGGAGTGACGTTGGTGTCGCCGGCTACAATGAGTATGTAGCCGGGCGTGAGGGGCGGGACGGAACAGTCAATGAAGGAGTTTCGGGATTCGAGGGATGTGGGGGTTATGTTAAACGCGCTCGCGAGGGACTGAAAGGGGGGGAGGAGAGGAAGAAAGGGGAGGAGATGGGGAGAGGGAGAGGGAAGGGATGGGGGGAGGGAAGAGGGAAGGGAGGAGAGAGGAAGCAAGGTGTGAATTCGCTCAAGGAAATGAGGGGGAGAGGGAGCAGGAAGGAAAGCAAAGAGGGGAGGAAGAGGAGGAAGAGGGGAAGAGAGGGGACGAGGTTGCTTAAGAAAGTATAACAGAGAGAAGTGTATGGGAGGAGTGAGCGAGTAGAAAATGGGATGGAGGTGGGGAGAAAAAGGAAGAGGAGAGTGGGGAAGCGGGAGAAGGAAGGGGAGCGGATAAAGGGGGGAGAAGCGGAGGCGGAGTGGGAAGCTGAGGGGAGTGGCGCGCCTCACCTCGCACGTGTCCCCCGCGGCAACGGTGTAGGTCTGCAGGCCGCTCTGAAACGTGCCCAGCACGCACGTCATAGCGCCGTCCGTGCGCGCGCCAATCACCGAACCCTGCGGACAACACAGGGAGGGAAGGCGGAAGGCGGAAGGGGAGGGACGGGGAGGAAAATGGGACAGTTGGGGGAGGAAGAGATGGTGGTGAAAGGGGCAGCGAGTGGGGCAGCGACTGGACGGGAATACTAGAAATCAGGGGGAACGTAGGGGCAAGGAAAAGGAACGTGGAATCGCCGCGCAAAGCAGAGAGGGATTCGTACTGCGGGGCAGGAACAGGTGTAGCTGCCATCGAATTTATTCGAGCAGTTTCCCGAGCCGCACGGATTCGGGTTCGCGCCGCACGGGTCCGCACGCACGCATTTGGGCGGCCCAGTCGATTCCCTCCTCTCCAAAAATCCCGCGGGGCACGTGCACCGCGCCGCGCCATCCGAATCCAATCTGCATGTGCCCCCACCACACGGCTGCGGGCGAACGTTACACGGGTTCGCATTACTTCGCGAATCGTAAAAAGTTGGGTACACCGCAGGTTCGCTGTGGATGTTACACTTCCCACTCGGTTGGCTGTCGTTGAAAATCGGCAGCTTCATGTAACCCATTTCGCCCCACTCCGGACCCCAGGTGTTTTTCAGCAGCCAGTAGGGTCCCTCCGTCGCATCCAAACTGTAACCCATTACAATCATCGCGTGGTCGATATCTTTTCCGCAAGCTCCTATAAATAACCCCCCGCTGTATGCCCGAAAATCGTCGCTATCCGTGGCGATGTAAACCAGAACCGGCTGCTGCGAAACCGCTTTCATCAACGAATCCGCGCTTTTCGCCGGAACTTTTTCCCAGCCGCTAACGTTCCCCAATTTCACCGCTCCGGCTTGCAATGAGCGGCAACTCAACCCATCCATAGCAGTGTACGGATAATCAATCTCCCGCGCGACGCCGCCGTTGCTCATCGCGTAGAGAAACACCCACTCGGGCCAGCCGCCGCGGCAGCAGCTGCCCGTGCCGCAGTCGCAGACCTGCTGCGGCGCGAGCGGGACGGGCGCCGTTGCGTTGAAAGCGAGGGCCCAGAGCATCGAGAGCAGGTCCGTCGCTGCTAGCGCCCAACAGCTCTCGCACTGCAGCGGGAGGGGAGGAGAGGGGGGAGGGAGACGGGATGAGTGGGGGAAGGGAGAGGAGAACCGGAACGGCGGTGATGAGAAGGAGCGGGCGGTAACCCTAGGTTGACCCCGAATACACGACGACCGTGCGCCTGAAACCGGAAATAACCGAGCAGCCCCGTCCTGCACCGCACTAAACCCGACCGCACCGACGTACGCTCTCCCTTACCCCGTCCTGGAGCAGCAGGCCCGTTCTGTACCGCGACGCGCGCCAGTCGACGAACCGCAGCTGCGACACCGTCTCAAAGCGGTACCACGGCTGGTTAAGGTCGCCCGTCGTTGGCGGCGACCCCAGCGCTGGCGCCTGAATCGGCACCAAGTCCGTGGTCAACAGCCGACGCGCCCGCTCCGCGGAACTCAGGCGGGAACTCAGTCCGCGTAACGCCCCGGACCGCCGCGGGATAGAGCGGCCGCCGCCGCCACTGCTGCTGCTGCGGGCCGTGATACTATTAACAAGGGTCATACTAATAACGGTACTGCGGCCGTTCCGGCTGCTCATGGTGATGCGTTCCAAGTCTGACGTCGCGTCGCCATACCCCTCCTGCAGAAACACCTGCGCGATTTCTTCCAGGCTGCTCGGCTGCTGCGCGCCGTGTTTCACGGCGGCCCACTTCTCCCGCATGTGCACCTCAAACAGCGGCTCCGGTTGGCCCGTCAGCGCGGCTTTCAAGCGATCACCGCCGCCCAATGCGGAAGAGGGACGCCGCAATGAGTCTAGGGCAGGGCCGTTGCGGCTGGCTAGGATTGCAGTCGGGTGGAGAACGTTGAGAAGGACAAGGAGGGCGACAGCCGCGACGGCCATTCGAGAACGCGAAAAGGGTATTCGTCTCCACATTAGGAAAATCGGAAACTGTCGAATACCGTCTCGTACAAGATTAGCCGGTCCGTTTTGAGTCGCCTTATAGATTGAGTTGGGTGGTCGCATCGCGGTAGCCTGCGGGCGTTGCGACGAGCTCGAGGGCGATTCGCGGCGAGAGCTTCTCAAAGCCTGATCCGTTACGAGCGTCCGTCCATCGCCGTCACAGCGGCCGGCTAACTTGTTGCCGGAGCAGCCGCCTGACCAAGAACCGTCAGTGGCACAACCAGTCAGCCTAATTTCAAAGATCGGATGCATTGACGGGTCAGAAACAGTACACGTGGCTGAAACTATCCCTCTTATCCTTATCCGCCGAACGACGCTACCAAGGCACGGCCTTGCACTACACGGAACGATCCAGCTTGCTAGTCAGACAGGAGGTGTGCTACTAATCAAGAACTTACGACACCAGCCTAATAACTCATATCTCCAGAGAAAGCATTATGTCGCTGCGTCACGGCGAACGATGTTCGAAGACATTCCTACTGCAGATTAGCATCGTCGAGGTTCGCATCGCATGCGACTTGCTCTGTCAGCTGAACGGAACGTTAGTAACCTTCCAACTCAACTGAAGGGCGGTTGAAATTGCTGTTGCGGTGGCTCCGCCACTACTGCAGCTGCTGAAACCCCTCTATCCAGTCCTTTCAGTCGTGTTGCGCTGGACCCGCGCTCGCTGCGGGGCGTTTTGACAACAGCCACAGGAGCAGCACGTAACCCTAACGGAGAAAGAACCGTTTTACGCCTGCAGGTTTCGGTCCGCAGAGATACAAGCAGGCCAGATAGCGATGGTTAAAAGGGGTAGTTAAAACAAAGGCTTGGGGTAGGGTGTAGCACGGTGGAATGAAGGTAGGAGGTGCACAAGAGTGGCGGTCTTTTTCTGCTGTTTTGTGGAAGGGGCAGAGCGATGCTGTGGAGTGGGTAGGATAGGTTGGGGAAAGCTGGTTGTGTGCAACACAGGGCAGATTTGTCGCTCCTGGTGAAAGTGGTCGGTGTTTCTTTCGCCACCGAAGCAGAGCTGACCCAGTAGGAAACGCGTTGGGCAGAGAAGAAACGGAAGAAAGAAACCTCTGAGAAAGTTTGACACTTCGCGTTACGCCAGAAACGAGAGTGGGTGAGGGGGCTTCGCGTGTGACAGGTCAGCAGCATCAGCCACTGCTGCAATTGTGTCCGTTTCTGGGGCAAGGTGGGAGTGGGGGACTCCCTCGAAACCCAATCCGTTTGGATGGACGGTGGGAATCGGGCTGGATTTTGTGGCAGGGGTTCTGAAACCCTTCAGTGTGCGCCTCCTCATAAATGTGACCATCTTTGTGCTGTATATGTGACTTCTAACAACAAATAACATAGGAAATAAGGAAGCCTGAATGTTTATTTTCGTGGGATTTCGGGGTTTTACACAAGGAAAGAGTCTAGTTGACATGCAAACATGTTTGTGAGATAGTTCAGCGAAGCTGCAAATACAAGACGCAAGCAGTCAACAAATTTGCGGTGCACACTTTTTCCCCTGCCTACCTTCCTCATGACAAAACAAATCCCAGAGCGTAGTCTAGATCGCGGAGCTACCCTGAGTACATTTTTAGCATGTCCTTTCTTTATAAAGGAGAAAGACAGAAACGTAGGGCGTATTCTTAGTTCGTGTCAGACACGAAGTGGAGTTTTGGATGTAGGTTCGGAAGACTCGAAGTCGCCCACTTCGTGTCTTCCGAACATTGATTTGCCAGAGTTACAGGTCACTTTGGGTCTTCCCAACTTCACTTCGTGTCTGACCTCATGTCAGACACGATCCAAGAATACACCCCCAGTCTGTAACTCGAGAAGCTGGTTCACACGATCAACACCCCAAAGCTACACACTGATGAAATAGAGAAAGAGCTAGGAGTTTCCCCAGAACAAAAAGATGGTGATGGAATTTCCGCCAGTGGGCCCAAACTGGTCGGGAATCTAGATTCCCCTTGTGGCCCCCAAGCTCGTCATGGTCATGGAACGGACGGGCCCCATTGTCAACCCATCATCACACACACACATCTGCTGAAACAACCGCGCTCTACGGCGCGCAGTGCGGTGGGAGTTCCCACTTGCAACACTGCGTGATCTGTGTCAGCAGTGTCGATCTGGAGGACGAATTTGGCCAACAGCACTCTGCTTTGAACACGACAAGTGCGGACACAAATCTAAAGGACGATCCCGAAATTGGTTTGTTGATGAAAAACCCCTGTTACTGTACATATTGGCTATGATTAGCAGGCCATATTGATAACATTAATTTCCAACAAAAGCTCCTCTAAAGCAAACAGCACATCACATCTGCTTCATGTCAACACTAAGTGCCACAAGGGTATTATTCACAGTACAGTCACAACCCCATAGATGCACAGAAATTGCGACTCATTGAAGTGGCATTTTCCACACCATCACCACCAGCTCTAGACAATGCAGCTGCTGACGTGGACGGCGGCGACGCCAGCTGGCGGCAGAATAAAAACGCAGCCTGGATCCTATCTTCTGGGGAAGCATCCGGAGCAACCACTCCAGCCAGTCCCTTCATTTCCCTAGCCACGGTTGTGTACTGGCCAATCAGATTCAAGACTTCTTTCTCTGCTTCCTTGAGCACTGGTAGTGGGATCTGGTGAGCAACAGAGAAGGGGAGGAAGGTGGAGAAGGGGAGGAAGGTGGAGACGGGGAGAATGGGGGAGATGGGGAGAAAGGTGAAGAAGGGTGGGGGGAGAGTGGTTTTGCAGATGTTTGCACACATCCACACCACAGGCATACTCGTTAACAGGTACAAGCCATCGCAACTGTAGACACAGCAAGGAGAATTTCCACCCACAACACAGCCCTCACCAGAGCGGAGGGTCCCTCATAAGCCTCCATGGTGCCTGCAGCCTGCAACGGCTTAAACGTGAGCGGGTCAAAGAGCAGCTGCAGTGCTGCTGACGGGGTGTGTTTTTGAGGCACCTGCAAACATGGACTCACCAGAGCAGAGGGCCCCTCATAAGCCTCCCCGGTGCCTGCAGCCTGCACCGGCTTGAGCGTCAGCGGGTCAAAGAACAGCTGCAGCGCTGCTGGCTGGGTGGGCTGCTGCAGTGAAGCTGCTTGTACAGAAGCTGCTTGCAATGAGGATGCCTGCATGGAGGGGTTATACAGCTGCAGCGATGGCAGGGACTCGGACTGCTGCTGCTGTAGCAAGACTGGTTGCACTGCCTGCTGCTGGGTCAGTGGCCTGGTTACGTCGGCAGATTGCTGCTGCTCCTGCTGGAGCGACTCGATAAGAGGTGACTCCTTACTGTGCGAGCCGAGGGCCAGGGGCATAAAGAGGAGGGCGCTGAGGCCCACTGCTGCTGCTGCCTTGGCGAAGAGAGCAGTGAGGGAGGAGAAGTGCCCTGGCGGTGACGGGGGGGCCTGCTGGGTTGATGTAGTGGGGTTGTCAGTGGCGGGGGAGAGAGAAGCTGGGGGAACAGAGGAGGGGGAGTTGGAAGAGGGGGGGAGAGAGGCCGAGGGAGTGGAGGGGTTTGAGGCAGAGGAGGAAGATGCGAGTGTGGCTGCAGCTGCTGCATCGTTGCTGTTCTCCTCTTGCCATTCATCTGTTTCTTCTGTGTGAGTGCCTACTTTCTTGGTGTGCTCTCCATTCACCTCCGCCTGCTGCTGCTGCTGCTCCTGCTGCTGATTCCCTGAGTCAATAGCTCCAGGTGCTACTGCTGCAGTGCCTGCTGCTGCTGCAGCGGCGGCGGATGACGGTACAACAGGTACAGCAGCACCTGCTGCTGTGGCTGTGGCTGCAGGGGATGGCACAGCAGGTGCAGCTGCTGCTGCTGTGGCTGCAGGGGATGCTGGGCCTGAAACATGGGCGGCTGAAGCTCCGGGTACTGTAGCGGGCGGCGCTGCCGTCCGGGTAGCGGACGGAACCCGGGCGGCAAGAGGTGCCGCTCCCAGCTCACGGCGTTTGGCATCTATTGCCACCACGGCTTCCCGCAGACACGACGCTGAGGCGAGAAGCTTCTCCTCCTCCTGCACATGGGGCATGGCCGGTTGTTGCATTGCAGGCAGGAGAGGAGCAGCAGGCAGGAGAGGAGCATCAGGCAGGAGAGGAGCAGCAGGCAGGAGAGGAGCAGCAGGCGAAGAAATGGCAATGCGACGAATGAAGCGTGTGCTATGCTGGAAATGGTCATACCACGCTTTACCATTCCAGCATTAACATGGAAGAAATGGCTATGCTGGAAATGGTAATGGTGGTATAAGTGATTTAATCAATGGTGATATGATCATGATACGAAACAGGCTAAGGTCAGAGGAAGGTTCCTCTATGAGCTGCTCTGATAACGGTTCGGGGTATATTGTAAGTGAGAAATGGCGATACGAATGTTTCACGCAATGGGGGGCGATGATGACCCACCTCTGAGAAATGCTCCTCTATGGGCTGATCTGATAACGATGTCAGTGCCGCCGCGTCCACTGCTGCTGCATTCTTGCCCAGCCGAGACACATGCTTCTTCACCCTGTTGCCAGGCAAACGCCACGCACACGTCATTCACGCCATGCACACGCCACCCACACGCCATGCACACGCCATTCACGCCATGCACACGCCACCCACACGCCAAGCACACGCCACCCACACGCCAAGCACACGCCACCCACACGCCAAGCACACGCCACCCACACGCCACCCACACAACCCACACGCCATGCACATGCCGTGAAATCCAATGAAGCATGCAACCGAAACACAGGAAGCAGGCTGAGGAACCAAACCAGAGCAACGAGGTCCAACTGTTATATGCACCTCACTCCCCACAAAGGGATATGGAAATCGAGGTTCAGGCGTCTCAAACCTCAAAAGTGGATATGGAGATACACATACAAGAATTCTCATGCGAGCCTACTCCAACTCAACCCGCGCCAACTACGTCCCCTTACCTCCCTGCCTTTCCAACTCCAACTCAACTGAGGAAAAAGCCGTCCCTCAGAAGAAACCAAACCTGCCGCTTCTTTTGACAAGTCTTCAAGGCCGTCCCTTGAAAGTCACCCAGCCTAACTAAGTTCCCTTGGCCCCTTCCTTCACAACCCCATGATGCTGTAGGGTGTTTTTGGGAATTCTCAAAAGTCGCACCAAAAAAACCCTACAGCACCTTGGAAGTCACCCAGCCTAACTAAGTTTCCTCGACCCCTTCCTTCACAACCCCACACCCATCGCATGTCTTTTTTGTTTATTCTTGTCAAACTCTCCACCGGAGCAAACACTGCTCACACATGCCGAGATCTCACACTGAACACATTGACTGCATTGACTACATTGACTGTGCACAACCCACCTGGACTGCAGAGCAGCAGCTCCTCGCGACAGCTCAGCTGCCAGCCTGGCAGCATTCGGCTCCTTCTGTCCGCCGTCCACCCCTGCCGCCCCTCCGAAGCCGCCCACTCCTGCTAGGCCAAGCAGCTTCAGGGTGCCCGCGCTTAAACCATCCAGCAACCCTGCCAATCCCCACCCCTCCCCTCTTCCCGATGTTGCCAACCCTACCCCTCCTGCAGTGTTTCCCCGAGCCTGTAGCTGCTCCTCCAGCCGAGCCACTTGCCAAGCCATCTGCCGAACCTCTGACCTAGCCTTGGCGAGAGCTCGGAGGCTTGTCGAGTCCTTGTCCCGGGCAGCCGCAAGCTGCCCGAACAGCGCCGACATCTTTTCCTCTGCCCGGCCAAGCAGCGCTTGGGCCACGCCCTCTTTCTTCTGCAACTCCTTCACCTGCCCCTGCAGCAAAAACACCCTCTGATTGGCTGATTCCGCTGCCCCACGGGCAGCCGAAAGCTCTTCCTCCAACCTCCTAACCGTCTCCTCCTCCCCTGCAACCTCGTCCAACGAATCAGAACCTGCCACCTGTCCCGCGCTGCCATCACTGCTGGCACCGGATCGCAGCAGGTTGAGCTGGTGAAGGAGCGAGGTGGAGCGCTGGGTGGCTGACGTGGCTTCCTGTGTCGCGCTGGCGAGCTCTGATTGGAGGAACGCCACCTGGGTTCGGAGAACGGCAAGAGAGCCCTCCACCTCCTCCGCTACAGTGGACTGTGTTAGGGGAGGGGTTGGGGGGGAAGAGGGTAAAGGAGGGGAGACGGGGTTGCATGGAGGAGTGGTGGGGAGAAAGGGGGAAGAAAATGAGGAGAGGAAGCAAATCCACTCATTGCAATTGCCCCACCATACATGCAATCAACCAGCGAACCTGATTCTGATTTTTAGGTGCCACAGAATTTAGCAAGCACGAACCTGAGCTGACAGGCTCTCCACTTTGCTCGATAGCACCCGAACCTCCTCCCGAGCCTCGGCCTCTTTCCGAGCCACCTCGTCCACCTGCCTCCGAAGCTCCTCCTGCCCGCCCATGGCCGCCGCCACAGCCGCTTCCGCCGCCCGCTCTCTCTCCCTCCCCTCCGCCACCTGTCGCTCCAGAAACGCCAAACGCTCCCGCTGGGCCGTGCGGGCGGCAGCCGCCTCAGTCAGCTTGTCAGCTAGCGCAACGACAAGCCCAGCGAGGCTCGTCTCGTTCTCCAGCGCGTCGGCCACCGCCGCCCGGGCCTGAAGCAGAAGCTTCCTCGAACCTTCCCCGCTCCCTCCCGCCGACTCGAGCTTCGCAAGAAGCTTCTCAGCAGCTTCCCTCCTCTCCCTAGACTCCCTCTGCATCCTCTTAGTAGCTCCCAACTCCGCCATCACCGCTTCAGACCGCGCTACTGCACCTTTCCACACCTCCCTCTCCCTCCTCTCCCTCCCCTTCACCTCCTCCAGCTCCCGCGCGACACCTGTCAGCGCCTGATTGGCCCGTTTGGCCGCCTCAACCGCCGCCTGCTCCCTCTCCCTCAGAACATCTACAAGCCGGGCAAAGAAATCGCACCGCCCGTGCGCGATTCTGGAAGCTTCCTGGGCAGCAGAAAGCTCTTTTTCAAGCTGCTCCACCTGTAGAGAAAGCTCCTGCACTCGAACCTGTGCTGCTCTCTCCCTTGCTGCTACCACCTCCAAAGCCTCATTCGCCCTCTCAGCCTCTCTCCTCGCATCCCTCTCTCTGCCTTCTAGTTCGCGAACCACACCTGACAGGAACCCTACTCGCTCTTTTGCCTCAGCTGCTGCTTCTTTTGCTGCTGCCTCCCCCTCTGTGACCCTCGCCAGGTCTTTTTCCAGAGTGAGCAGAAGCTGCCGAGCCGACGCCGCCCGCTGCTCTGCCTGCTGCTGCGCCGCTTGGAGCTCCTGCTCCCGCTCACGCCTCTCCCGGACCTCTGCTTCCAGAGCTGCCACCCGGTCAGCTTCGGTGGCTGCCGAACCTAGAGCTGCGGCTTGGGCTGTGGCCAAAGAGGAAGGTGCAGAGGAACCTTCTCTCGCTTGCAGGGATTGTAACTGGCCGGCGAGTTGACTTGCCAACTGGGTGGCAGCAACTGCTTCCTTCTGCGCTGCGGCATGTTTGTCCTGTAGTGCGTTGAGCTGGCGCAGGAAGAAGGAGATCCGATCCTCCGCCGCCCGGGCGGCCTGGTCTGCGGCTTGCTGCTTCTCTTCGAGACGAGAGATGTGAGCCTTGAGTAGAGCAATGCGGTCAGACGAGGTGAGCTGGCGGCATGGCGTAGTGGGAACATGAGAGACACACAGCAGCACCGAGGAAGAGGAGGGCAAGGGGATGCGTGAGTAGAAAGAGTGGCTTCCCGGGGCCTAGAAAACGAACAGAAGCTGCGAAAAGAAGGAAGATGTGGGAAGAAGGACGGGTGGAGAGAGCTGCTTGAGAAGCAGATGAGCAGCATGATAGGACAGGGAAGGGAGAGGGCAGGAGAGGGCAGGAGAGGGTAGGAGAGGGTAGGGGAGGGCAGGGGAGGGTAGGGGAGGGCAGGGGAGGGTAGGGGAGGGTAGGGGAGGGTAGGGGAGGGTAGGGGAGAGCAGGGGAGGGTAGGGGAGGGTAGGGGAGGGTAGGGGAGGGTAGGGGAGGGCAGGGGAGGGTAGGGGAGGGTAGGGGAGGGTAGGGGAGGGTAGGGGAGGGTAGGGGAGGGTAGAGCAGAGCAGAGCAGGGCAGAGAAGGGCAGAGAAGGGAAAGGGGGCAGAGGACTCACCTCGACATCATCCATCTGCTTCTCTGCTGCCCGTGCAGCCCTGCGAATGGCCGCCTGCAGAAAGAAAGAGAGGTGCAGCAAGGGAAAGCATGGTACACTTGAGTGTGAGTGACTGTATGTGGATGGATGTATGTGTGTGAGTGATTGTATGTGGATGGATGTATGTGTGTGAGTGACTTTATGTGAATGGATGTATGTGTGTGAGTGACTGTATGTGAATGGATGTATGTGTGTGAGTGACTGTATGTGAATGGATGTATGTGTGTGAGTGATTGTATGTGGATGGATGTTTGTGTGCATTAATGGTGGAGAAAAGGTTGAGAAGGGACATGGCAGAACGGGTGGCCGGGACAAAACAGCACCAGATCAGGCGCAGTGCGCACGCATGCAAGGATCAAAGCACACGCATGGATGGATGGGTGGATGGATGGAAGGAACAAGGCGAATGCATGCAGGGATCAACACGTACCTTGGAGATGGCGTCAGAGAGTGCCACGTCAGCAGCCACCATGCGCTGGAAGCCCTCTGCCACCAGCTTACGCTCTGCCACCTGGCAGCACGCGATTGGGTGGAAGTGGGAGCGGAGCAGAAATCATGCAAAGAGGGGCTGATGTGGAAGAAGGGGAGCTGCAGCTCAATACTGAGAAGAACATGTGGAGCAACAATAGAGTCACACTGCGCGAAAACGATACGGGGGAAGGGAGGAGGAGGGAAGTGGGAAAGCCCCGTGCAGTGTGGTGCGGCGCAGTGTGGTGTGGTGTGGTGTGGTGTGGTGTGGTGCGGTGCGGTGTGGTGCGGTGTGGAGCCCACCTGCCAGTCATTGGCACTGGACCCAGGCACGCCATTTGCTATCCTCGTTTGAAGCTCCTCCGCTGCAAGGTCTGTGAGACGCCTCATGTTGCTGCCTGCTAGCTGCGCGTGAGCCTGTGAATGCACATGCATGCAAAAGCATGGACATGCATAAGCAAGCACAAAACCACATACGCACATGCGCACCAGCATGCACAAAACCACATACGCACATGCGCACCAGCATGCACACACACACACACACACACACACACACACACACACACACACACACACACACACACACACACATATACACAAGCATGCACACACGCGCACCCATATGCAAAAAAATGCACACACGCATACAAGCACGAACGCACATGCACAAAGTTAGGTGACGCTGGAAACAGACAGCTGGAGCCACATCCATGAGCCAATGCCATACCCCTGGCAACCCACCTGAGAAGGCACCTGAGAAGGCACCTGAGAAGGCACCTGAGACGCCACGCACCTTCTTCCACACGCGCATGGGCGGGTCAGCAGCCGGGCATGCCCGGCACATGTCCGCCAGAGCAGTGCTCACGTCCGCTCCCTTCACAAACGTCGTGTAGCTGGTTGGAATCCCACGTGGCATCAGGAGACACGTGGCACAAGGAGACGAGTGTCATAAGGGGACACGTGGCAAAAGGAGACAGGTGGTGATGAAACGAATGAGACAGGAAATGGAACACGAGGAAGAGAGACGAGGCTTGGAGCCTTGAAAGAAGAAGGATTCGAAAGACGAGGAGGTGCGGAAAGAGCAATGCGTAAGTGGGAGAGGCACAGAGCAGGAGGGAGGGAGGGAGGAAAAGAGCGATGGGGGAATGGGTCGGGGAGCAGAAGGTGGGGGTGGGGGCGGTGGGGGCGGTGAAAGTGCTAAGGGTGCAGAGAAAGCTGAAAAAGACGAAGAAAGTGAAACGCGGAAGTTGTGCTACAGGTGCTAAGCGTATTTACCCCAGAGCAACAAGGGCACTGGCGGAGTGAGGAGAGCAGCTGACAACGGCGACTCTGTGCCTGGTTGCCACCAGCGCCGCCACCACTCACTCACATTGATAGTTTTGAGGCGCCTCTAAAGCAGACTGCTAAAACGAGGACTCACCCCAGAGCAACAAGGGCACTGGCGGAGTGAGGCGAGCAGCTGACAATCGCCACTCTGTGCCCTGTCGCCACCAGCGCTGCCACCACTCGCACCGCTTCCAACACCTGCGAAACCACGTCCTCACCCCCCTCCCCCTCCCCGTCCTCCTCCAAGCACCCCTCCAAATCCGACTCCCCCGCTTCCCCCTCGGATAACACTCCCCGCCACCCCTCCCCCGGCTCCCCTTCCCCCCGCGCCGCTTCCGCCCGCCCGCCTGCGGCGGCTTCCCCGACGGGCAGTTTGAGCGCCACGCCGCCCTCTCTTGCCAGCTGGCGGGTCACGGCGGACCAATCAACGGCCAGCGCTGACTCGTGCTCCGACGGCTGTGATTGGCGGGGAGGTGGGAAGGTGGGGAGAGAGGGGGAGGGGAGGACGATCAGAGCGCGGGGTCGAGTTAGGGAGAGACAGAGAGAGAAAGAGTGAGGAAGGACGGTGTCGGACAGAGTGTGCGGTGGAAGGTGGGGAGTGAGAGAGCGAGCGAGAAATGCGGGCGACGAGTGGGTCCTCTACTCAAACAGAAACATGGTCACATCACCAGAAACACTAACCAGTAACGAGACGACAGCTGTCACGCCCGCCCTGGACGTCACCACGTCCACGTCAGCAGCCGACACGAGCGGCGAGCCTATGAGCACGTTCTCTGCCACCTGGCACCACGCGATTGGCCACTCCGCCTCCATGTGAAGGCTCTCCTGATGGCTCTGCGCCAGCGACTCCCCCTCCCCCAATCCCTCCCCTTCCCCCTCCTCCTCCGCCTCATTGGCGGTAACCGCGCGGAGCGTCCGCGGGTACGTCCCCGCGCGCCTTTCGTCCCGCGGGGTACCCGCGTGTCCGTTCCCGCTTCCCCCTGCAGCGCGCGAGAACGGCGGAACGATTGGGGGAAGCGCGCGGATGGCGGAAATCAGCTGGAATTGCGAGACCATGGCGCTGCTGTCGCCTTCCGCAAACACCACCTCGTGCACATAACCCACTCCCTCCGCCCCTTGCCACCGATGCCCACCCCTGTTGACGCCTAGAAACCCGTTATCAGCTCCTGAAGCACCACCAATGCCGGTGATTTTCGGAATGTTCGACCCGTTCAGGTTCTTCCTGTTAATAGCATTGTCCGCCGAGCGAAAACGGCTATCGGGCTGGTGTTTATTGCTGACATCGGAGCCGCTGAAATCCGACGGTCCACCGGCCGTCGCTTGGATCTCCAACGGCCGCGATTTCTTCCCGTCGTTTAGGCGGGAACAGCCGGTTCGCCAGAGAAATCTTGGCGAATGTCGTGAAAAGCGTGGGGATAAATAGCCGGGATATAACTGCTGGCTATTACGTGGTGACCTAATATATATACCAGGCCGGTGAAATGCGGCTATTGTGACCACGCCGCGGGGATTGCGGAGACGGTTCGTTACTTTCAACGCTGTTGCACGGCCAGTTGGGGAAAGCGGCTGGACGAACGGTTTCGCGGCAATGCGAACGGTAATGGGTGACCTGTAGATGTCCTCCGGTCGCCACGTGGCAAAAGTTGCGGTCCGTAAGGTTGCCATTGGGATACAGAGTGGCACGTTGCTCCGAATTAAAACATCCGCGATAGACGACTGAGCGGAGGAGGTCGCAGGCACGGCGATTGATGCTGCTTGTTAGTCTTGTTCGCCTGAGAGCCTGGGCACTACTAGAAACAACAACACTCAAGTAGAGAGCTGAGGTGGAGGGAAGGAGCTTCAAGTCCTCGATTCAAACTGAGGGAGATGCCCGATCCGGAGCAGGGTTGCCCGTTCATAGCGACCTCGCCTTTCCATTTAACTCAACCATCCGTATATTGTTTTGAGTTATCATGTGGATTGAGTCGCTACTTTCTGATAAAACGAGATCTTTGATATTGAGACAAATGCTGCACAGCAGAAGGCACACATTACACCCTGTTTCTCACTACACTGAACTGTGCTGAACTGATGGAAAACCTAGTTACCTTCGATTTGTCTGATTGAACCATACCTAGACTTAATCTAACCACCGTTAACCGTGCTTTTCCCATCTTGACTTCACTATAACCGAATTCACAATGGCGAGAAAGAGGGTGTAGCTAGGCACGAACGAGGCACATAGCATAGCCGAGCCTTGACCGAGACAGGATATTGGGCTGGAGCAGCATCCCACCATTGCTTGACACGTCATCGAGCGGTGCTGCGTTGTGCACGGAAAACCAATTGCCACTCTGGAACTTGCCCGATGAACGTGTTGGAGATATACACTCGGCGGCACCCGTTGTTGCTTGCCAGCCAAACCTAAAATGACGGCGACATTTTTATACAGTGTGTTTCTTACAGTAGTTATATCGTTCGTTTTTATCGGCGCTCTGGCACATCTGGAGTACTTTCTGAGGTACTTTCTGCAAGAATTATGCTTTCTGTGTAAGCCCTGTACACCCTGTTTCGCGCTAGCAGAGCATCTGGTTGCAGAACATGCACAGGTTGTAGAACGTCACCACGTTTGAAATGGTCTTATCACCGACGGTACAAGCACATTCACAAGAAAGCGGTTAGCTAGGATGCTGCATGGTAAAGAACATTAACCAAGCGTTTCAAAGCGGTTGAAAAGGGTATACATCGATAAAGAAAAATTTTGCCCCCAGTACCACTCCGTCAGCTGGTGCGGCTTTGCCCGCAGGTTTCAGCCATACGGTTTATGGCACCTGACCGCACTGTAGCAGCGAATCGCGCAAGGTGAGAGGGTCGAGAAACAGGGTGTAAATTACTGTACCACCTCGACCTGCCTGCATGTAGCTCGTGTACTGTATCGCACTGATCTGCATTGTAGCACATGGCATTCCCCTTCTTGCTGCAAAAGTGGGGAGGTTCCCTTCCTGCTTCTACTGCTGCTGCAGTTGCTGGTACTGTTGTGTGTGTGTAGTGGTGTCAGGACGGGTCATTTTCGTTCTGGTGTGCAATGGTTAGGGCGCGTGTGGTCTGTTTAGAAGTTCAAAATAAAGTTCGAACTTTGGATGGTTACCCTATTCGCTAATTTCGCAAAGAGTGCTTCGCGAACCAAGCATTGTATGGGCTCTGCAAAAGTTCGAGTTTGAAATATGAACTTGACTCGAGTCGGAGGCGCGAACGTGCGTGCTCACGTTCATGCGAGCGTGTGTGATTTGCAACACGTCCGAACAGCTGGCGAAACGGGCGAGCGCTTCGCCAGTGCATGAAGTTGCACGACGAAGACACCCCACAATTCGTGCACACAGTTGTAGCCACGTGTCCAGCATACAAGGTGTTGCCACGGGGGCTATTTGTACCCTGGCTACACACTCGGCGCGAAAGGTGGTTGGAGCTCTAGGTCCTTGTAAACCGAGGCGCAAAATGTTGACGTGGCGCACCGTCAAGACGAGCGAACCGGGTAACCTATGATGTTGACGTGCGGCTCGGCTCGTTTTTACAAGTTCGAATGTCGGGGTTCGACCTTGTATGTGTGTGTGATTTTTTACAGTGTGGTAAGCCCGATGTTCGAACTTCGATAGAAGGAAATTCGAACTTCTTTCGTTGTAAGTTCGAAACTAAAATTCGCCCTAAAAACATAAACTTTTACAAATTTCAAAGACCTCACGCGCCTTTAGTGGTGAACGTAATGTAACGTATTTAACCGTGTCAAACGAACTCAGAACGGAAAGTATGACCCCACAGTGCACACTGTCACCACCAACGAAGCTTGCCTTGCTCGCTACTCGCCATCCAGATCAGAACTCCATCTCATCTTGGGTAAGTAACTTTGGAAGGGCTTACACTAGCGACCCTGTGCTCCGAGGGGGCCTACAGTGCAAGTAGAGGGCACTTTCCACCCCTCCGTGCCTCAGACAGGGAAGTTATAGAAACAGGACAGGGCAAATCCCCACATTCACCCACGTTTCAATTGCGAGACCCTAAACTCATATTTCAATATTCATATTTCTGAATATGAAACATAAATTTATCAGCTGTGATATGTGTTGTTGTATCGCCCATGTACAATTGAAACGTGGGTGAATGTGGGGATTTGCCCTGTCCTGTTTCTATAACTTCCCTGTCTGAGGCACGGAGGGGTGGAAAGTGCCCTCTACTTGCACTGTAGGCCCCCTCGGAGCACAGGGTCGCTAGTGTAAGCCCTTCCAAAGTTACTTACCCCATCTTTCAAGTTTCTCGTTCCGTCGTCGTAGGATCGAATCTCGCCTCAGTTCTGATCACCCTCCTCAGTTCGCCTCAACTTTAATTACGCACCTCGGACACTGTACAGTACGATAGTAGGCTCTGAAAACTGAGCAAAATGAATGAACCCTCCAACGTGGCAGCCAGATCGGCTTGTACAGTCCCTAGAGGAAGCATATCTTTCTCGTTCGAGATAGTCACGTCGAAGAGAACCAACGTGCTCGCTTCCCAGACGAAAAATAACACGGGCTATGCGGTCATTCATCCTGGAAATAGTTTTTCGCCAGCTAGTCCAGTTGTAATTCATGATCGTCGCATAGAACTGTACGTAGGGATCAACCAGCGCTTCACAAGTACAGTACTGTATCCAGGTTGTCGGTAAGATTATGCGGCTCGAGATGTTCCGACAGCATCTGGTGTGGTCTTGCCGTCATCTGTTTCGCAAACGATTGGCACTATTAATGGGTGACCTCAAACGGAGCGCTGCTTCTACTGTAATGTCAGACACACGGACCTTGGAAAATGGATGGACGATGGTGTATGCTTGCTCGCGGTACCTCTCGCCGCCCGTGCGCGAACTCTCAGGTTCACCTCTTTGGCTTGGCACTCTGATTCACGTACACTGTACATGTACGATCCTGTCCGGGATGCAGCCCGAGAATTCCGGAAACAGTGTCAATCTGCCAGCTCGTCGAACAAAAAATCCATGGCCGTCGCTGCTGCTTTGCTGCCAAAGATCGTTCTTTCCGTCCGTGCCTTCCTGGCTCACCGCGTCACAGCGTCTCATTCGCCAAAACTCCCAGCTACTAAGGCACATCCCTCTGGTCAAACTCCCTGGCGAGAATTTCCACCATATACTATGCTCCGACTCTAGTAAGAGTGTCCCTTCCGACTGAGACCAGATTTCTTCTCCCGCTCCGATTTGTTTCGGACTAGAGTAGGAAGAGGTTAGTAAGTCGCTGTGACCGGCTTTCAAGTACCATCGTTTCTGCTACCATCATACGAAAGGGATTCTTACGGAGCAATGCAGGCGGCTCATCCCCGCTAGTGCCACGCTCGCTACGGTAGCTCGCCGAGAGCTGTATCGTCGGCCCTTGCAGTGGATAATCGGCGAGTCGCGAGCTACCCTCTTAGACTGACATTGTTGATCTCCTCAAGACGAGCCTCTCTTCACTGCTACCGGATCTCCTTCGTACTTACGGCGAACGACTGATATCATTAGAACGAGTTTGAGTAGTTGGAGGTATTGCTTCACGAGCCGCTGAGTATCTATCAAGGTACGGGACTGTTACCCGGTGTGCGTCGGACTAGACTGCTGCTGCTGCTGCTGCTGCCATGGCGGAAACGCTCTTAGTATTCTCCGAATCCGCGGCGGCTCCGACGCCAAGAGTGATGATTCCAGACCTTGTTCGCCGCGTCAGCAGCCGCGACGCGCCTCCTGCGCCGGCACCGGAGGAGGCACCGGCGGCGGCGGCGGAGAGCAGTAGCGCCGGATTCGGGGTGGCATTGCGGAATGAGCGGAAGGGGACGCAGCGGCGCGACTCGAGGCAGCTCTCCATCCACGTGGAGAGCCCGCGGCGGTCTCCAGCAGCCGCCACGCTGGCAGCGGGATCTCCGCGGAGCCTGCAGATTCTTGACTCGGAAGCTTCCAAGAGCGTTCGTCTGCACCACCGCAGGACCCAAAGCGGCGTCATTTGTTCCAACAGTCACATCAGCAGCCACGTCAGCAGCAACTCGGATCTGGGTTCGCCTGTACGCGCTGC